ATAAATGGCATTAGCTGAGGAGAATTAAAGCAAAGACTTAGGAAGAACGTTAAGAATGAGACTGACCCCTTGTTCACACTCATTTCATCATCCATGAATCTTCCTATCTGTTGCAAATAGTTATTTAAGTGAAACCTATGTGTTTACAACCAAGTCTGTGAAATGACCTTCTCCCTCTGTTATTTCTTGGAGGATATACGGACATTTCATCATTCTGCTTATTTCTATCTGTATTCTCCCACTCTGCAGAATCTGTTAGATTAATCTCTAATGTTCTGCTCTCTCTGCTTTTTCTAACAGTAGCTTCGCCTCACCTATTCCTTCATGGTTGTGACTCCATCCTGGAGAGAAATATCAGCTGTGCTGCTGCCATCAACACCTTTGTTTATAGATGTTTGAGATCAGTCTGTTTTTCAGTGTAGTCCTGTTTCTCTGACTGGGACTAACTGGATGTGCTCTCTTCATTCTCTGACATGGGAGTTGGCTCGGCGCTCGTCTGCCTGGCTGTGTGTTTCCTGGACAGGGCCGCCTTTTACAGCTGCTTTTTGTTTCTCTGCTTCTGTCTCCTTGAACCCCAGTCGGCCTCAGCAGATGGCCACTCACACTGGGCCTGGGTCTGCTGGAGATTTCTTCCTGTTAAAATTGAGTTTTTCCTCTCCACTGTCGCTACAAGCATGCTTAGTGTGAGTGATTGCCTTCGAGTGAATGAGGCGATGCAATCAGCTGGTTTTCCTTAGATAGAAAACTTTTAATCAGTTTGATTGGATGATCTGGTGAATTGTAAACTGCCTTGAGATGATGTGAGTTGTGAATTAGTGCTATATAAATAAACTGAATTGAATTAAATTGGATTCAGGAATTTTTCTGGTGTTGACGTCTAGAGGAAGCTGAAGGGGTATGAATAAGTATCACTTTTCCTGCCATTCTTCAGACATAAGCACTAAACAATACTTGTAATTCAGTTCAATCAAATTTATTTATAAAGTAACAATTCCCAACACATGTAATTTCAAGCCACTTTACAGAGATAATTCAATAAGATTGAACAGTCAGGTGTCTTTCACACACATACACTTAAAAGCTAATAGTTATGAAAAAATATAATAATGTTGAGGTGGGAATTAAGTAGGACCTTTTTCCCAAACTCATTGCTTTTAGGGTTTCCCAGAAACCTATATCTAACGCTCAATCATATTTTTAATAAACTGGGTTAAACCATATTCTCAACCACATCCTCAGAAACAACGAGTCAAAAAAATACAGACGTGAGTGGGAAGAGGTAATTACCTGGCTGAATGGCAATAAGACTGATAGGCATACTGAAATCACACAAAATTGATCAATAGATCAATAGACAGGTTAAGATGAGTCTGATATACGAACAGGAAGACACAAACTTCACTCTTCATGTACCTCCAACGCCTTCTGGCACTGTTTTAGTTTGATGATTATTTACCATGTTTGAATAATAGCCAATGTTCATGAAAGAGGCAAAATCATGCTTTAAAACAAAGAAAATGAACATCAAAACATCAAATCATGGAAATAGTGTAATACATGACCGTACATTGATTGATAATATTTCTAGTGTTTTTCTGTGTATTCTCTGTCAAAATGTTTAGATAAGGAATTTGAAATTATATATCAAATGACATGACCGAGGGGATCTTTTTGGCCCACATACGGAAAAAACTGTTTTAGATGGAAGATTAATAGTATCTTTATTTGAACAGTAAGGTGAGTTCACTAACACCCTTGATTGTTTGCTGAGAGCCGTGAAGGAGAGACAGCATTTGAGGTCCGTGGGAGTTTGCCTGGGGTGGGGGTTGGGTTCCAAGGGGATTCGGGGGAACAGAGCCAAATCAGGCTACCTTTATCTGGACCTAGTGAGCACTTACGGGATCGCTGGTAAAGAGTAGGGAGGTAGATCAGATTCACAGCGGAGTTCTTCAACCTGGGGTGGAGCAGAGAGAGAGACAGGAGTTAACTCGAGGAGATCAAACAAAGATTCACTAGGTTCTTGCGCAGGGAGATACATGCGCTCAATAGAGAACGGTTAAGGATCTGGCGAGGAGATGTGGTCGATCTGCTCCTTAAATCTCAAGCTGCTAATAAGCAGATCTGGAACATGTGGAGCTGCCAGCACACTGCTTCTCCTCCCAAAGCACTCCTGCAAGAAACCAACACTGCTATCCCCCTGATTATGACCTCAACAAAATGTGTGATTTAACAGAGAATGCATATGAGTTTAGTGTTTTTATTGTAGCTTTCGAAAACAGTTTGGCTTGAGAACAATTAGTTGAGATATTTAATATTTAGTACATATTTACAACATTCTCTATAGCCCATTCCATTAATAAGGATCCCCTTAGTGCTAGAATTACTGTGTTTTGGTAGAACATACAATAATAACTAAGCTGTGTGCATGCGGGACTTTGCTATACACTTTTCTAATTGTTTGTTTATGAGAATGTGTGTAATTATAGCTTAATATATATAACGATACATAGTATTACAATAGTAATGCGTTTGATTTTTTGTTAAAAAAGATCTCAAAATGCAACAGAACAAAATAGAAAAATACAATCTGAAGTAAAAAAAACTGAATGCTTATATATCAATCGAAAAATGCTTAATTTAAACATACTTTAGGTTTTTATATAGCAACAAGTGTTAGTTGAGCTGTCACTTAGGAATATAGGCTTTAAATTTTTACTGTAGCAAACACAGTGATTGACAACGGATTTCCTATGCTAGTGAATTTAAATCTTTAGTGTTCATGTATTGCTTTATCTCCAAAGTATGATGCTAGAAAAGTTTGAAATTAACCTTGAAAATGCTTGAAAAGTGCTTACATTTTACTGTATGAAAAGTGAAGAAGCCATGCTGTACTGTAGCAAAATTTTAAAATGAAAATGAAACGTTGATTTCTCAGTGTTGGATGTTGAACCTGTTATATATTGCTGATGCAATGCAGCAAGACTCACACGGAGCAGATTGTGAGGGACAGGATGTTATGTGTCAAAACAAAAATAAACATGGCAAATTTTCAAAATAATAAACAATTTTCTATGGTAACTTGCCCTTACTTCAGGAGTCACCATGATGGTCAGTCCGAAGCCTTAGAATACCAAATTTTTTTCTATTTTATCTAACTATTGTAATGTTGTAGACTTCCATATTTATTTATTATATATAATTGCTTATAATTGCTTTAATGTGAATAGTTTATCTTGTTTATTATTAGTATTTACAGCTATCTCTACTATTTCATACTTCTGGATTGGGCTGCTCTGGAACCCGCATAACTAATTTAATTTCATGTCATGTTACCGCGTTGAAATGACTAATAAAACTCCTTGAAATATGATGCTGAACTTGTATATTGTTCAAATCTATCATTTTAGTATTTGACTCTGTTGATATTATTTAGTGAAGGGAAAACAGGATAGGAAGGAAAAGGCTGAGTAAAAACAACCTCCTCTTTGAGCCAAGCATCGAGAGGAGTAGTAAAGAGAGGAGAGCTACCAAAATACAAAAGGAAGTTACAGCGCTTGAAGTGTATACGTTTTAAAAGTCCAGTGTTTATTGCATGATAATTGAAGTATTTTATAAAATTGTAATAGAAATATGTTCAAATACAAGCAGCCAAAATTTGTTTCCCTTGAAGGGTGGCTGGGTGCATCCTTTGAGATCGGGTGAGGAGCTCATTTACCCGGGAGGAGCTTGGAGTAGAGTGGTTGCTCCTCCATGTCGAAAGGAGCCAGCTGAGTTGGGCATCTGTTTAAGATGCCTAGGATGCCTCCTTAGGGTTTCAATCTTGGAGATTTTTATTAGGTGAAAGACGGTCGACTTTATTACTGTCATTATGTGCCCCTGAAGGTTCAGGTCTGAGTTGATCAATATACCTAATGGTAGGCATAGTTTGGAGTTTCTAGCTGTGTTTACAGAAGCTCTGTGCAATGCCTATTCTTCAATCTTTATTTTTTATACATTTGCAAAAAGACAGATAATTCTAGTTTCTACGTGAAATAGAAATCTCTTTATGAAACAGTTACATAGAGGAGAATGTTGGATATGATTAACTCCATCCTGGAAAATCACATACTCTTCATGATGTGCAGGTCACCCATAGAAGCACCTTCAGTCAGAGATTCAGTTCATCACGCTGCACCACAGAGCACAACATGAAGTGATTCCTACCTGTGGACATAAAACTGTTTAATTCATCTCTCTGACAGCAACATCTCTTTCATTTTATTAATTTATTGATTTTATAAGTTCACTATGTGCAATAACACAGCCATTTGCAATAATTCTATTAAATGTACTGAGCAGCATTCTAAATTGTAAATACTGTAGATTTGTATTTATTTATTTATTTATTTATTTTTGCTGTCTTATACTTACAATCATATTTTCTCACTTCTGTGAGAAATGGTCTATTCCTAAATATTATTTTATTATGATGAAAGTAAAAACATTAAATATATTTGGTGTTTAATCCAATATATATATGAAATACATAAAGTACTGCATCCTTTAATATGAACTACTGTTGTCCCAGCCCTCCCAGCTTCAGCACTCGACCCAGATCAGATTTGTGGTACACATGCAGTTTCACATAATCTAAAAGATCAGAAATAAGATGCAGGGCAGGCCATAAAGATTTAGCAGTAATATGTTGATTATTCTACACTGTGACACCTGGTAACATCTCACCTTGGATACCAAGGACTTCTGGCCACACCCATATGGTAGTTAAGCCAATGACCACATGGTCATGGAATTATAAATCAAGCTCAAGTATGCTGTTTAGTCATTTGCAGACAGGAGACAAAACTCTCTACACCTTTTTTTTTCAAAGCTTAGAATAAATAACAAAGAGCACTAAAGTCTCTGATAGCGCTACAAATCCTGAAGCAAGTTGCCCAAACTTGTTTTTTTAATCATTGTTTTTTTTTTTTTTTTTTTTTTTTTTTTTATATAGGACTAAAAATATGGTTGAAGATCAACATCTCTGTAATGAATCAGCAGAGCTGCATCGGCAAAATGTGACCTCTTATGCTTTAAATGTTTTTGTTGTTATTTTGTCACTTCTGATAATATGTGGGAATCTTCTTGTAATCACCTCTGTCATTTATTTCAAACAGCTGCACACTCCAACAAACTTCCTCATCCTCTCTCTGGCTGTGACTGACCTGCTTGTTGGAGCTTTAGTTTTGCCTTTCAGCACAATATTGTCTTTGAACCCATGCTTGTATTCAGGCTATTTGCTTTGTAAAATGCGAAGTCTGTTTGATATATTGTTATGTGCATCATCCATTTTGAACTTGTGCTGTATATCTATTGACAGATATTATGCAGTGTGTCATCCTCTAACATACAGAAGTAAAATTAATGTCCGTGTCTCTCTGACTATGATCCTTGTGAGCTGGACTCTTTCAGCTCTACTTGCTATAAGCATTACAGGACGTGGATTAAGTAAAAAAAATCCTAACCAGAAGTGTGCTATATTTGTAGCTACAAAGGAAACCAGTCCAGGGCCATTTATTGAATTTTACATTCCTGCAATTATAATTTTAACAATATATCTTAGGATTTTGATGGTGGCAAAGAAGCAGGCAAGAAGCATTCGGACCACTGTAAAGTCTGAAGCAGCTCTCAGCAAGATGGAGAGAAAAGCTAACATAACTCTGACAATAGTGCTGGGAGTATTCCTCATGTGTTGGACTCCTTTCTTTTTGTCACTGGGTTTATACAGCATGGGAAAAGTCACAATACCAGACGTGGCCATTGAGGTATTTAAATGGCTTGGATGGTCCAATTCTATGTTAAATCCATTAGTGTATGCTTTCTTCTACAGGTGGTTCAGACATGCTTTTAAAATGATATTTACCGGTAAGATATTTCAAGGAGATTTTTCAAGCACGAAGCTTTGACATAAACAAATGTCAATTTGTTTGTTGCTGTTTTTCTTTGTTTTTTATTCTGAAGATGTGGGTATCATGCATGCAGTATCAATAAAATAATACCGACAAAGCTTATAACAGATACAGCTTATTTTAATGGATTACATTTGTTAATGGCTATAACAGACATTTGTGTCTTTCAAAATGCAGCAATTAGCAAAACAACTAGAAAATGTTTTTTTTATCCCTCCAATAAAGGAAAATACAGGTATTTTGCATTTGTTTAATGTAAAGTCTTCTTAAAGTTATAGCCCATATCATTAGTTTTAACAAGACTGTTCATTAATATAGTAGAAATACAGAATCTGTCAGTAAAAGGTTCTTGCCTGATTGTCCATTGTCAATTAAACAGCTATTAAACTTAGTAGCTCTGACTTGATATGTAGCAGCTCTATACAAAGTGTTTTGTTCAGGGGAGCTTATGAAAAACAGTTTAAAGTAAGACTGTTTAAAGTGATTGTAAACTGTAATATTTTTATCGTCCAATGAACTGATAATTCTAATTAAAAGTTTCCACAATTATTAACCTTTCTCTGATTTGAAGCTTGAATTAAGCAGAAGCACTATAGAAGCTGATTAATTGTACAACAACTGTGTTGACCAGGACAGAACAGGGTCTCAAGGCCCTACCTTACTTTACATTTATTTCTAAAATGACTGTGTCTGCTTTAGAAGTGATTCTAGCTCATAGCTTTATAAAATTATCGTTATTTTTTTCATTTTATTCTGTACCCCATCAAACATGGGGACAGATGGGTTCTCCTCATCCTCCGCAGGAAGTACATGTGCTTTTGTGCAATTTTGATTAGTGAGTTGGTGTATACAGTCCAGGTGAGGCTTTAGTCAAAAATCAAGGAAATCAAAATCTCAAATTAGACCTAGTTGAATAATGGAACATGTGAAATTACGGGAACATTTGTAGTTATTCCTGCATTAAGCGATAAAATAATTAAAGAATCTGTCCAAACCATTGTATTATGTTTTTGAGTGATTCCCTTCATGTATACTTTGTCAAACAGCTGTATATTGCTTGTTCAGTCTCAACAAATAGGCAAATGAAAGCATACATTTGATAAAAGATTAAAAGAACTAGGAAAAAACTACAATAGTGATGATGATAGTATTTCTTTTGAGTGAACTAAACCTCAGAATCAGTTCACTCAAATGATTTGTTCAAAAAATTTGTTCACAGAACCTTTCAGTTTTGGTTTTACAGTTGAAATAGGCATTAAGGATGGCTTTGGTCAGATTTAGTGTGCCGTTTAAGGAATTTTAACAGCATTTTCTTTACTTTTAAAATAGAGCATATCTTTAGGTACATTAGGTATTCTATTTATAGACCTTTACAAGCTGTTTATGTTCCGTATTAACTAAAACAGATAACATAGATGTGACAAAGGATTTAAGCTCTAACCTTACCTTATCATACCTTATTTAAGTTCTGGTAGCTCAAATTGAAAGTCATATAACATGAAAAAATAGAATTTTATCACGACTAGTAATTCGTAATTATCTCGTAATTATGAGATTTTATTTTGTAATTATGAGATAGGATCTTATATTTATAAAATATATCATATTTAGGAGATCAGGAAGGACATTCATTGCAGAGCTAAGCTACATGAAACGTGAATATTGAGTGGGTTGTCGGATTTAATATGCTTTTAGGTATGTGACACTGGGAAATATTGAGTTTCCTCAATGTGGATGGAATCATTTTGAGTTTGTCAGCATTGTCCTTAAAGGAATAGTACACCCAAAACATGATTAGCCTTCATTTTCTACTCACCTCCATGCTGAACAACACTCTGGAGTACTTTTTTGATATCTCAAATGCATCTGGAGATCTGGGAGGCTTCTTGCTGTCTGCTGACATTCAAATAATGGAGGTCCATGGCGCCCGAGACAGAAAGGTCCATAAAAGTCCACAAAAACGTGTCAATATTCCTCCATACTGCTCGTCCAATGTAATCCAAGTGTCCTGAGTGGGTAGCATCCAGAATTTACTCGAAACGAAGTCATTTAGAATGTTTTTAGAGCATAAACAGTAGTGTATAGGATTTCCTAATAGCGCCCCCATGCGCGCTCACGATTCTACGGAAGCCGGCAGACCAAACCGGAAGGAAGTGCGCATTCAGCGTCTGGTCTGCCGATAATGCAAGCGTAGAAGAAGAAATGTGCTGTTTACCTGTGCAAAGAAAGAAACAACGAAAGAAAAATGTCTGAGGACTTCAGTGTTGAGGAAGAGCATGAGTTCTTTGCCGAGCTGAATGCGCTGGTTTGGTCTGCCGGCTTCCGTAGATTCGTGAGCGCGCATGGGGGCGCTATTAGGAAATCCTATACACTACTGTTTAGGCTCTAAAACGTTCTAAATGACTTCGTTTCGAGTAAATTCTGGATGCTACCCACTCAGGACACTTGGATTACATTGGACGAGCAGTATGGAGGAATATTGACAAGTTTTTGTGGACTTTTGTGGACCTTTCTGTCTCGGGCGCCATAGACCTCCATTATTTGAATGTCAGCAGACAGCAAGAAGTCTCCCAGATCTCCAGATGCATTTGAGATATCAAAAAAGTACTCCAGAGTGTTGTTCAGCATGGGGGTGAGTAGAAAATGAAGGCTAATCATGTTTTGGGTGTACTATTCCTTTAAGTCCTTAGAACTGTTCAGGCAAAAAAGCGCCCTCTGACTTGCTGGAAGGCGTATTGTTCCTGCATGAGCAATTAAACCAGCACGGGATGCTTTATGGCTATAAATTAATGCATCTGACATGCATTCCAGCTGGCTTGGTGGTGTCCCAAAGAACTGTCCGCCGGTACCATCTCAAAATCCTAGATCCGCAAGGAGTAAAGCTGGTTTCAGAATAGTTTAAAACGACCAGGTCCCAACTATATGTGGCATGTTGATTCATATGAAAAACTAAAACCATACGGAATCTCTGACAATGGAGCTGGTGATGGATTTTCACGTATGGTCATAAGGCTGCATGCTTACTCCACAAGTAGTAATCCAAGGGTTATAGCTGGGTACTTTATTAATGAAGTGAAACACAGGAGCAGAGCTCCAACGCGTATCAGGCCCTCGGTACAGAGAACTGTTCAGTGGAACAGATGCAGATATTTTTAAAACGTAATCATGAAGACCAGCTTTCTGAGAGATCCTTTATTACGGACTCAAGTAATCATAACTAGTTATATACACAAGATTTCGTAATTACAAGGTTTTTTCTCATAATAATTTTAATTACATAAAAAGATACTGATCTTGTAAATATGAGATAAGCTGTCTGATTTTTTTTCTTTGGTAAATGCAATCCGCTTCCATAGTTCTCTGTAAAATGACCGAGTTCCTTGCTTCCTATCGCCTCAGCTGGACACAAAGTAACAGAACAGGAGCCCCCGTTACCCACTTAGCTAATAATAAGTCTGCCTTAAAAATTGTATTACTCTTAAAGTACCCCGATTGTATTTCATGAATTAACCATTTTCAACTCTTCTCTCTCCCTCTCTCTCTCTCTCTCTCTGCGTGTTTTTTTTATAATTATTTTTATCCACAGGAGCCCCGACAAGCAGGCACGCAAGACACACTACAGTAGGAATCCACTAACGAGTTATTATCAGGATTGCATTTAAGGTGGAGACCGCTCACTAATTATCTTCACTCTCTTTTTCAAATTCAGTCTTTGTTTTGTTTTTAAGAATTAGTTTATCGTATAATAAAATTAATGTATTTTCTTTGTATTCTCTTATTTTCATGACTTTCATTTAATATAAAATTTGTGTCTTTTTTACAATTAGCTTGTGATATCATAGTAAAACAATCTATTTTTAGTATTTTATATTAAATGACTGTTTTTACAATAAGCTTGTGACATAATAAATTTTTTTTTTTCTAAATATATATGATAAAAATCTAATTATAATTTTTCCGCTGTATTACAGGGACTTCATCAATAATAACTACATCAATTATTGAGTGGATACTGTCCTCTATGCCAGGCATCCCCAACCTCTGTCCTCGAGGCCCACTGTCCTGCAGGTTTTAGAGGTTTCCTTGCTCCAGCACAGCTGATTTTAATTGAAAGCCGATTAACAGGCTTTTGGTCTACTGCAGTCATTATAATCAGCTGTGCTAAAGCAGGGAAACCTCTAAAACCTGCAGGACAGCGGGCCTCGACGACCGAGGTTGGGGATGCCTGCTCTACGCGACATCAAGCCTCGGCCTACTGATCAAGAATATTAGACCTGTTTTAAAGTCGTAGGAAAGTCATATTTAAATGTTAAATCATTTTGGCTTAAACATGTAAAGGTCCTTCTCAAAATAGTAGCATATCTTGATTAAGTTCATTATTTTCCATAATGTAATGATAAAACTTGAACATTGATATTGCACACTAACTGAAATATTTCAGGTCTTTTATTGCCTTAATATGGATGACTTTGACATTAAGCTCATGAAAACCCAAAATTCCTATCTCACAAAATTAGCACATTTCATCCTACCAATAAAAAAGAGTGTTTTTAATACAAAAAATGTCAACTAATTTGATTTCAAATAATTATGTACAGTTATGAACTTGCTCGGGAATCCTTTTGTAGAAATGACTGCTTCATTGCGGCGTGGCATGGAGGCAATCAGCCTGTGGCCCTGCTGAGGTGTTATTGAGGCTCAGGATGCTTTGATAGCGGCATTTAGCTCATCCAGAGCGTTTGGTCTTGTGTCTCTCAACTTTCTCTTCACAATATCCCACAGATTCTCTATTGGGTTCAGGTCACGAGAGTTGGCAGGTCAAATGAGCACAGTGATACCATGGTCAGTAAAGCATTTACCAGTTGTTTTGGAACTGTGAGCAGTTGTCAGGTTGTGCTGAAAAATGAAATCTTCATCTCCATAAAGTTTTTCAGCAGATGGAAGCATGAAGTGCTCCAAAATCTCCTGATAGCTGCATTGACCCTGCCCTTGGTAAA